TAATTGTGAACACACTCATTGTTAAACATTATTGATACAAACCTGCAGTTAGGTCACTAAAACACAAGACAAAATTACATAAGTCATTTTTTCCAATAAATACTGTGGTGCTCATAAGAAAAACATGTTTCTGCCAAAATCTAGTAAAGCATTAGTAAGCATCTACTTGGAAGTTAATAAATGTTTATTTTATTATAAGTAAAGTTTGTTGTAGGGTCTTTTAATGTGTCTATTTTTTAATGGGTGACTTATTGGTCATTATTTTTTATACAACCTCATGAACATTTTTCCAGTCCATATCCCAGTCTGAAAACTGAGCCTACCCTAAAGCACAGACTTTCATTACATGATTGAATGCATTCATTGACACTGTATATCTGTGTATCTTCGTTTTTATGTAAACGCTTGCCACTCTATCAAATAATATCTTTATATCGTAATGTTTTCTTTTTAATTTTTAATATAATTTAGGATAAACTCAAAAATGTTCAAAAATGCCGCGTTAACGCAACAACAATGTCTTTTTACTGCTTTTGGATGTCCAACTGTTTTTGCTTTATGTTTGCTATTTGTCCTTCATGTTACATTATTTTGGAAGAAAATATGGGCGGCTGCAGTCTTTTCTTTTTCGGATATTTTTTAATAATAACAAATAGTTTCTGTTAGATGTTATGTTTAAAAACACGTACAAAGAAATGACTGTATGCAAGTCTAGGAGAAACACACAAACGCCTGAGCTGACCAGATTTTTTATTCAAAATCTAACACAACTTATACTTTAAGCCAATTAGATTTCCAGTCTCTGTCCCTGCCCGCGCGTAGTATCAATATATTGTTGCAGTGCAGTTGCCGTTACTGCTATCCTCGGGGGCGGAGCTACTTCACAAGACGTTCCACGTTGCTAAGACGCGCACCACTGTACATGCATTTCTATGGGCTCTGTGCGCGCTGCTGTGAAACGCCGGTCGAGCCGGTGAAAATTCGAGAAAACAACACAAACTCAACTTTGAAGTAATCCTGAACAACCAAATTTAGATATGTTACACACGTAGGGCTAATCGTGTTATACTGTTCAGGGGAGTCTCAACCACCATCCCAAAGTATCGTTTTCTGCGAGTTTTTTGGCCTTTGTTTTCACCGCCAGGGTTGCCAAGCGGTGAAAATGCCCGGATGTCCGCCCCGAGGTGTTTGTTATTAATGTACACAGGCAAGCGGCTCGCCGCAGTATTGGCAGTTTTTGTTGTTCGTTTATGTTTTGCCTTCATACCTTCAAAATCAGAAGCTCACAAAAACTGAAATTACCCACCAAAGAATAAGCAGATAGGCACGTGTGCGTATTGCAATTATGCACTATTTGTTCTGCTAATTATAAACACGAGCAAACTTTAATAACACTTATATTGTAGAATCTTTATTG